CAGCGAAGGAACTTATCAGTTTGCTAGTGTTTGAGCGCTTAATCAACTGCTCGCACTGTATGCTTCCCGGGAAGCTGAGAATGTTTCGGAGTGTTCTATGGTCTGCTGGGGTAACACTATAGTGTAAAGCGCATAGAGCCTGCTGTTGAGTGGAGATATATGCGCTATACAAATGCTATCTATTATTATTATTATTGTTTGAATTTGATCAGTTCACCCTTCATAGTTCAGTACATTGTTTGAATTTGATCAGTTCACCCTTCATAGTTCAGTACATTGTTTGAATTTGATCATATCACCCTTGTTAGTTCAGTACATTGTTTGAATTTGATCAGTTTACCCTCCATAGTTCAGTACATTGTTTGAATTTGATCAGATCACCCTCGTTAGTTCAGTACACTGTTTGAATTTGATCAGTTCACCCTTCATAGTTCAGTACATTGTTTGAATTTGATCAGTTCACCCTTGTTAGTTCAGTACACTGTTTGGCTAGTTCACCCTCGTTGAAGTCAGCCCACCCTCCTTGATTGCGTTATAACCATACCTGTTAGGCCAACCCACGAATGTTTTCATTGTGTTCTAAACATTTTGATCGGTCCTATCGGAGAAGAACGTTCAGTCTGGAGCTCCTGTCTCATATTCATCCTAACACTGTTAAAACAGGCGCTTAGTAGTGATAGTGGTAGTAGTAGCACAGCTCCTTAGGTTTGAAAGTTCAAATTATGCAGTTAAAGGACGCCACCGATAGGTCTTACCCCCCCCCCCTCACTTCTTTGTTTCTCTACGTCTGCATTACTCTTTCCTTACCATAAATGTCCGTTATCAATGTAGATAAGCTTGCCTTTTCCCTACGATAAATGATCATTGTGGTGTAAAGATGCTTACTTTTTTCCTAGCACAAATGGCCGAGATATACTTATTTGTACTCCCTAAAGGTTGTCTCCGATACCAAGAGATTCTGCAGCGCAGTCACAGTTTTACCAAATCCATCTCGCTGGGCAAGCTCAGGAATTTCTTGACGGCATTGCCACCTTAGATATCGGTAAGGAAGACATGCCCACTCTTTTTATTATTACGTTATTGTTTTGTGGCGTCGGTGGCCTAGTAGTTAGGCTCTCGGGCTCGCAACCGTAAGGTCGTGGGTTCGAATCCCGTCAGGGGCCTGACGTTGTGTCCTTAGGAAAGGCACTTTACACATATTTTCCTCACTTCACCCAGGTGGGAATGTGTACCTGGCTATAGACAGCGAAAGATCTTGTCAGCTTATAGTGTTTTAGTGCTTAATCAGCTGCTTTGACTGTATGATTCCCGGGAAGCTGAGAATGTTTCGGAGTGTTCTATGGTCTGCTGGGGTAATAATATAGTGTAAAGCGCATAGAACCTGCTGTTGAGCGGGTATATGCTCTATACAAATGCTATCTATTATTATTATTATTATTATTATTATTATTATTATTATTGAACATAAACCCTTTGAACCCCGGGGTCGTAGCATTAACCCTTTGAATCCCTGCATTTTGAGCTCGAGCTCGCAGGACACCTATGTTTACCCTTTGAACAGTGCTTACTTTAGCCTTTAGACACTCAAATTACCATTTAATTTTGCCCTCCTCCCCCGGCGTCTTGATCCCACATGATGCCTTCATTTTAAACTATTTGACCCCCCCCCGCCCCCGCCCACCGTTTTATACCAAGCTCTTGACCCACAGGACCTCCACTCCTGATCCCGTGATCGAAATCACTCAGATTTAAATCCAAACACAGGATCGCCAATAGCCCTGTTGGTACCACGCTGAGCTACAGTGCAGATGCTCCTGGATCGAAGCCATAACGAAACGTTCTTTAATGTAACTTGTTTGGGCGGTTTGTCCGCTGAACCCCCCCCCCCCCCCAAAAACAAAAAAACAAAACAAAACCGTCGAGTCTTGTGTTAATTTGGTTTTACCCTATGGGAGTTTAAAGTAGACGAAATTAAAAACAGGAAGAGTTAAAACTTTTGATTCAAACACGTAGATAACTGATTTGTCACTACCGATCACCGTTGATGAGCTTTTGTTTTAGTTTTTTTTTAATAAAGAGAAGCACATCGACACAATGATAATCATTTAGTGCAGGGGAAAAGCTAAACAGAAAGACATAAATAACAGAGGGAAAATTGTTCAAGGTCACACCCCTCTGCCGGACCCCCAGAGTGATATGTTCATAGGCACCAGTTGTCCAGTGAGGGGGAACCCAGGTGAAAGAAAAGCTCTGAAACTCTTCATTGTTCTTTTGTCTATCATTTGCACTGGGTGGGGGTTGATAGAAGAAATTGGTGCCTTTCTGTCGCTGACCGGAAGAGCTAACCGAAACTAGCCAGGCTGTCAGTGACTCTGGTCTGTTGAACTTGGTCTTTCTTGGCTGTCCTCTTACCTTGTTTACCTTTGATAAAAACAAATAAAACAATAACAATGTAATAACCCATTGCTTTATGCTGTCACTGTGCAGCGCCATATCATTAGCTAGATATCTAGTATAGGGCTATCGTTCCTTGTTCAAGGAAGCACGTAATAGAGGAGACCACTGACCAACACCTGAGTGTCTGAGCTCTTCAGTCTCACCTTTGTTTCCATTTTGCAGTGATGATGATGATGATGATGATGATGATGATGATGATGATGATGATGATGATGATGATGATGATGATGATAATGATGATGATGATGATGTTGATGTTGATGATGATGTTGATGTTGATGATGATGATGATGATGATGATAATGATGATGATGATGATGATGAAGATGATGATGGTGATGATGGTGATGATGATGATGGTGATGATGATGATGATGATGATGATGATGATGATGATGATGATGGTAATGATGATGATGTGTCCCCCTCAGGCTGCCGCTCCAACAACCTGGACATGGCATTTGTCCTGGACTCGTCTGGCAGTGTGGATGTTGCTGACTACGAGAAGTCTAAGACGTTCACCGCCAGCATCGTGGAAGGTTTTGATGTTAGGCCGGACTCTGTCCGTGTGGCCGCCATAGCCTTCAGCAAAAATATAGCGGTCAGTGAAACCTTCCTAGTGGTCATCGTTTGTTTTGGGAAGTAAGCAGTGTCTCAACCACATTAACAATCAGTTGACAGTTTCTACGAAATAGAGTGTTCACCACTGGGAAAGCTTTGGTCTTTTAAAAAAATGAGTTAATATTTTTTCAATGGTAAATAATTCAAACAACCACACGCACACACACACACACACACACACACACACACACACACACACACACACACACACAC